AGGAGCGACGCCGTCAAAGGACAGAGTCCCAACTGTAAAATAAATTATACTGAAAGGTGCCCAGCCTTAGGTAACAGCTGCCCGAGGCCGCGCCCTGTCCTTGCACCAGAGAGAGAGAGATCGGAGCTCGCACCGAGGCCAGCGCAACCGACGGTTGGCCGGTTGCGGGCAATTTTTCTTCCCTGCCCGGGTGTACGCGCTCGGGTCCCTACCTTAAAAAAGACCTTGTGTCACAACTCTTCTTAGTGGGGAAACAGAGTAAATACCTAGTTCGGGCTCTTCGACGTAATCTAATGGTTAGCAAACATATCTCGCTAAATCTTTTATTACAACTTAGTAAAAAATTCGATTCTCATTGGTTGATCCGTACTCGCGACATTGTAACACTTCTAAGCTACGTTCAGTAAAGACACTTGTAATGGTTAGCAAACATGTTATAACGGAATAGTACGTTTGATCTTCACCGGGTGCTCCATACTTGCGGCCTTGTGCCACATTTTAGCTACATCGAGGCTTGAGAAATCGGAGAGCCTAGTTTGAATTCCAGCCGAATCCATTACATTCACTTACATGCTAATACCGTTAGGAAAGGTATGAATCCTCTTTTTCTCTCCTCCAGCTATGGATAAATAGCAGAACAGACCGGGTTCTATAGCCTTGGATGGCAACTGGTCTACCGCAGAAAGAAATGGCAAGCTATTGCGAGCAAAACTCTGTCACGTCAGTCCTGTATTGAATGATACATGATCGCCTACGCGTGTATCACGCATGGTACATAACTGACTGACTTTCCAGTCGAATCCATTACATTCACTTACATGCTAATACAGTTGGAAAATGTATGAATTCTCTTCTTCTCCCAACAGTTATGGGTAAATAGCAGGAGAGATCGGGTTCTATAGCCCTAGGTGGCAACTGGTCTACCAAAGAAAGAAATGGCGGGAAAAAATCTGCTTCGTCAGTCATGTATCGAAAGATACATGATCGCCTACGTATGGCACATAACTGACTTATTAAATCGCTATTTTACATTAATCTTCCAAGTAGGTTGGATGTGCCTACCTTGAAAATCTGCGTTCAGTATACTGAGGTTTTAAGTTAGCTCGAAAAAAATACCTCTGACACCAGCAGCAAATGCAGAAGTATCGGAAACTCGTGACTTACCCTGGTCAAGTTATATTTTATGTGCCGTGTCTTTTTAGGACCTAGACGATCATCGGTTACCACAAATCCATCACTTTTTGTTAATCTTAGTAACTATTAACCATTTATCGACGTTCTTTTGGTCCTTTTTCTGTCATTCGTTGATACTAACTCTTTGAGTAAGTTACTTGCTGTTCCTCCTGCTTCTCTGTAAGTGTTAAATTCTCTAGACTCTCATTCTTCGTTATGTATTAAAGATTTCAACAGTCTCTTTCTGATTTGTATCATTTTTGTTATAGTTCCTATTCCCCCACCCACATGTTCCATCCATAGATTTATCAACACTAGAAAGAGTCACGATTTCCTCTTCGAATTTTATGATGAATCTTAATTCGTTAGTCAATGATTTTATTCAATTCTTAGCGAGTTCTATGACATTAAATCATTCCGTAGAAATTCCCCAATCAAAATATTTGACCTCAACAACTTTAACAAAATACAGTGTAACCCGGATATAAGAGACCCGGATAAGAGAGAAACCCGGATATAAGAGAAACCCGGATATAAGAGACCCGGATAAGAGAGAAACCCGGATATAAGAGAGATTTTCTCTGGTCCCAAATTAGAGCCTGTGTTAATGTATATAAAATAGACCAAACCCGGATATAAGAGAAACCTGGATATAAGAGACTTCTTCGGTCCCGACAACTCTCTTATAACCGGGTTACACAGTATTGGAATAACAATCATAAATATGAATGCTGGTCGTTATTTTACGAAATGGGTAGAAATAAAAAGTTGAAATTGACAGCTTTTTCCCATTTCACTGTGTATATTTTTGTATATTTGTATATTTTTTCCTTTCGTATGTCTTGCTTTTGACGTAATCAAAACGGAATAGTCTATTATTTATGAGGTATTAGTAGGAGACATTACACACTTCTTTCATTCATTTATTCTTTCTTTCCACGTCTTACGAACATTTGTCCTAATAATAATTTTAAAATAATTCAGCAGACGATTTTATTTTGTTTATGATAACTGGAAATTTGCCTTAAGTGGTTCCCATCGTTCGTTACTGTGCTTCTCGGTCTCTTGTCTGAGATCAAAGTGTAGTATCTGTTCTTAACAGGTTAATCGGATTCTCTCTCCACCTCTATCTCCACTTCTTTCTTTCATTTTCCCAATGAAACCAAGCAGTGTCTTTACCCTTCTCGATCATTAGTTCATTATTTATGAGATATTGGCAGGACATAACGGTTGGGCTAACTAACAAATGGAAGGACAAGCAATGGGATTCTTTTAGAGAACAATATCGCTATTGCTTGTCATGCAGTTACTGCCATATAGGAGATCAAATATTATATAGCCGTTCAGCACGATTTTATTTGTTTCAAAGAACTTTTAATATCTCTTAATACTTTGCTTAGTTTCTGAAAGACATCGTTCGCTAATACTATGTGCGTTTGTATTTAGTGATCATATTTTCTTTAATCCGTTATATTATCCAGACCGTAAAATGAAATTATAACTTTTACAAAAACATTAAATCTCTCACCTAAAAAATGGGCAGCAACATTTGGTTGACTGAATGTTTTTTGCGGTTTATCAACACTTTTGTTGGAAATTTAAAGCCTAAACGTATTTTGAATTGTAAAAATAATACTTTTTTTGCGAGGGAATATTGCATTAAACATTTTTAGAGAATAACAATGATTATCCCACATAAAAGTCCTATCATTTAGGCCATAGATGAGGCGAGGTGATGGGACCATACATTATCCAAAGATATTTCCGCATAGGACAAAATCGACTGGAATTTGAACTCGGTTCCCCGGTTTCACATTCCGAGACGCTATCACTGTCACCATCCAAACATCCGAGCAATAACACACTGTAGAAAACCAAAAATGCCCACGTCCATGCAAGACATAAGAGTGAGCTATATATATATATATATATATATATATATATATATATATGTATGTATAAATGGTGTTGTATTAAGACGGATTATATATGAGGGTGTTTCATTAAGACGGATCAAAGCCAGCAGTAAATAAATCAGTGTTATTGTTAAAAATTTATATATTTCTCTATTGGATTATATTATTTAAGTCATGACAATTATGTGTGAAAAATAATATCGCCCAAATGTCCACCAATTCTGAAAGGAAAAGAAAAAAAAATCATAAGATGCTTAAACTTAAAAGTTATTGGAACACTCTTTTCATATATATATATATATATATATATATATATATATATATATATGGACAGTGAGAGAGAAGAGAGAGAGAGAGAGAGATAAGCAAGTGTAGATATTCATTAATTGACGGCGGAAAGTGGGTTCATATATCAGAAGTCAAGCAGGAATCGCGTAAGATAGTTTTCAGAAACTGGAATCTTGAACGGTAAGAATTATCATCCACTGTGACCGACCTGTGGTTCTTAATCATTATGGACAGAGGCCTCTGGCGTTGAAATGACTGTGGTATCAGACAAGTGACATTGGCTCAAATCATATCGACAGTAAATGCATATCTAAAAGTCAGTTCATCATTATTATCTTAGTATCTGTGATTCATGCGAATAGAAAACCTACCTCTGTGTTCCTGTTAACATCACGACACTGGGCGTAGCTCATCATCTGACCGAGTAACGTAGCTAATTAGAACCTGTAGTGCTGGCAGCGTGTACTGTTGCCCGAAGAGGTACATTTTGAATTGTTTCGAGCTGACGATATGGTTCTGATGTGACACATCCCCTTAAGTATATGGATTCCAGGTTGGTTGTGGCCACTTAATAGTGTGAGGTGTATTCACGTTGTATGGGATGATCTGCTCGTCTGCCTAATCACATCGGTGACCAGTGGCTGCTACTGTGCAGTATCTCGTGGACTCATGTTCCCCAGGATTGATAAACAGTTTCATCGATATCGAGGTATACGTAACTGGTTTGATAAGCATTCTGGAGAATTCTAGTGAATGTTGTCGCCATCACGTTCAACCGACATGAATCCAATCGGTCATATAATACTCTCACGTTAAATCTTGCATCTTTAAATATCAGTTATAGCTATCGAAAGGACATGGTTCGACATATCTTCAGAGGTTTTTCGACCACCTATGCTACATGGGATCCTACTCAAGTTTTCTATCCCATGGACTAATGGTACTTCGCTATACAATAATGAATACGTGTGGTAGCTCAGAAGGCCATTGTCACATGTAAAATTGAGATGTTCATTATTTGGGATATACAAGTAATTCTCAGTTGTAAGAATGATTGATGTTTGATTGGTACCTCTCTATGAGTGTTTCTTGGGAATGCAAATGCGTACGTGTAGTTTAGGATAGAGAATATCAGATTTTAGCATACATGTTTGAAGGTGGTAATACCCAAAAGCTAAGAGTATCGACTGGTCAGTGTTTTCATCTAGAAAGCTAAAACCAACCTCATTCGTGTCTTGACGGCCATATTACGCATTTCTCGAGATCATAACCCCAGATAAAAAGATCTTCATTTTCAGTCATATTTCTTTCTCTAATGAAATCATTTCACCACTTATGTTCATTGGACCATCATTTTAACCATCTTATCAGAGCAGAAATTTTGATCGATTAATTTGTATTTTTACAGCTTATCAACTTTTTCCAGGTTACTTATAGCTGGAAAATATCTTTAGATTGTAAGAATATTTTTGAAAATAATTATGATTTACTGGTATAAATCCTACTTATTAACCCATAGCTGAGGGAGACGATGTGGATTCATACCTTTCCCAAGGCTATTTGCGCGAAAATCTAACAAACCCGGAATGGAACTAGAGCTTATCCATTACACTACCGCATATCCGCAGCACCTGGTATTCCTAATTGGTTACCCATCTATGTACTGACCAGGATCCACGTTGTTTAACTTCGGTGATTGAACGAGAACCGCTGTTTTAATGTGATACGACCGTAA